AGAGGGCTCACGGAGGGCCTCCCCACGGGCTTGAACCGCTCGCGGCTTGGCTCAACTCTCTCTCTCTCTCTCTCTGTCTCTGCCGTTGCATCCTCATCTCCACCATGCCCTCATTTTTCAGAGACAGCACGAGACGTCCTCAGATTCAGGCGTTAGTGCCAAACCATTTGGCCCCAAGGCCTTGCAAACGAAATCATCGTAACCTTATCGAGCACGTCTCACAAAAGCCACTACAGCATGAAATGTGAGACTGCACCAAGCAGCCGTCTAACTCATCATGGACATCTACTTTGAGAAGTAGATCGGCCGCAAATCGAGGGTCCTTCACAAGGATCAAGGCTTAATTGCACGGGAGTAAGCATCACAGAGCAAGCTTTGAGAAAGGACTGGATCATGCCGTTCATGCTTTTGCCATTTCCAATGCACCACATCCTGAACCTTAGTTTATCGGGAGGAGGTGCGCTGCGTGTCTTGGGAGAGCCTTGTGCGAGGTCTCACTGCACTTTGGGAGATTGTGTCGGAAGCACCCAAACTCAACTCAACTAGAGAACGAGCTCCCTTGTAGCCATGTGCATACCTGTGCCCTATAATGTGTGTGAGATTTGGTGAGAGTTGCGCTCCACTTCGGGTTCAGGCCTTGCGAACCTCCATCCACCGTTTCCGGCCCAAATGCAAATCAAGTTTGGTTTGCTAGAAACAGTCGCGCGACAATCCCCATGTCTCCTCAAGCCCTGGACAGAAAGACAAAGCAAGCCAGAATCCTGTCACTGCAATGTGTTCGCAGTGTGCACCGTGAGTTGAACTGGTCAGGTCCCCTATACAGCTTGGCAGAGGGCAGTGGGCCAGCATGCACACAATCGTTTTCTGGCAGACTACGTGTCTTTGAGTGTCTTTTGAGTCCGCTTCAATGTTACGTTTTTTCGGCCGGAATCTGTTTCTCGCAGTCTCCTTCGAAAGCCCGTTCCGGCAATAGCCAATAAAAATGCACTATGTGAGGGCCTGAGGCTCTTCTCAGGGCTGCGAGCTGTGGTAGTTCCCTTTCGAAATACACTCGGCTACTATGACAGCCACCACTGCCACTGCCACTGCCACTGCCACTGCCACTGCCACCACCACCACAACCACCACCGCTGCTAAGGCTGCTACTGCTACTACTACTACTACTACTACTACTACTACCACTACCACTACTACTACTACTACTACTACTACTACTACTACTAGCCGCCCCCCCCTACCAACTACATTTCGTCATCGTCACCAACATCATCATCATCATCATCACCATCATCACCATCATCATCCAACACACTTGCTCTTAAGCATGTTAAGACAACATCGAATTCACTCGGTATATACAGTATTTGCAGCACTTTTGTCATGTAGGATCATGTTATGAAGCCTCAAAATCGACTTTTCGAGTGTGCAGACTCGAGAATCGGATTTTGGACTTGCTTTTCGGGGGTGGTGTGTGCGCGGAACAGTGTCGTGATCATTGCCGAAAAAAGCTTCCCCTCAATTTCGAGTTTTCGCCGAAAGCCCTCCGAAATCCGAAGGTCGAGTTCGTAACGTCCAGAAGTAAGTTTGGTGACTAAATTAGATGGTCCGACATCACGAAAGTACTGCAAATACCGAGTAAAACGGCTCTTCTGGAGATATTGTTCGGGGGTCTGCGTAACAAGAGCAAGAGTAGTTGGTAGGGGGGGGGGGGGCCTCATCCTCCTCCTCCTCCTCCTCCGCCTTTTCCTCCTCCTGCTACTACTACTCGCTCAGCACGAATTACCCAAATCTCAAACCGTAGATATCTTAAAACTGGTGGCGGCATCTCCGCGCAGATTCAGGATCATGAAATCATCGCTTGGCACGCTGAACCGAGCCACATTACCACAAAATCCCGACGCGGAACTATATACGCACGCATGCTGCAGCTGTCACGCTCATCATCGATGTTTGCCATCGTGCCTTGTCACATGCGGCTGCATAGGCCGCCAAGCTGCTGAAGGACCACACGGCCTGATACTGACAGGAGATCTCTGTGGGCATGTCGCCCGCCCTCTGGACTGTAGGGCTCGAACCATCTCGTCCATATACCACCTCAAACCGGAGGCTACAGATGGTTCTGTGATGCTGTATTAGGAAGCATTGTAGTATCATATCACCTCTGTGTTTGTGTGTCTGGTTTTCGAAGAGCAGTATCACTGCACGTTATCATGCCTGCATACATTGGGAGGGATCCCAAAGCTGAAGTGGTCCGCGACATTACGTTACAGCAAAGCACAACAATGCTCGGACGGACTGTGGCCTAACTCAGGCCTCAGCTGAGCGATGGTCTGATGAGCAGTGGCTACCTGGATTTCAACATCTCGAAGTCTGGAAACACCGGAGAGAGTACATACTGCAACGCAGGACCCGCGCTTCATGACTGTACATCATATCCTGAGCAGGTAAGACGTCGGGCAGCAAAGACGTACTACAAGTAGCAGCCAAGTTTTGAGGAAGCTGGGAGACCTGCAGTTGCCAGCGTGTCAACTTCTTGATCCCACACCTGCCCAGCAACAACGCGACCACATCGAGCGCGCACTGCCTTTTTGTCAGGCCCCTTGATCTCGGCTTGCTTCGATGCAGGTAGCAAGATTTGCTTGCTAAACTACAACTTGCCCAAGGGAGGCCCAGCCTTGCCAGCACCGAGAGAGAGGGAGAGAGTGAGTGTTGTCCGTAGTTCTGATGCATTATATCCTTCCTCCGTTTGGATCTCGCAGGCTTTTCGAATGTCACCCGAAGACATCTGAAAACAATATCGTGATATATCGTGATGCGTCCGCCTCGAGTTGCACAAGAAGGAACAGCACACTGCGGAATGCACACCCTTGGCATGGCTTTCAGACGGGTGGGAAGAGGCTGGGCTTTCGTCTGTTGTTTCTCATTTCTCTTAATCGCAATATATCGCAATCTGTCCCTTTTTCACTTCTCGGTCGGTTCTGTTCGGACTTGTTTGATGTTGTGTCCTTGTCCTTCTCTGTCTTCCTCACTCTGCTCTTTGCGTCTCTGTCTTCGTTCTACTCACCTCCTGCTTTTCATCCCGCCAGGCAAGGTAGTTTTTCAGTGGAAAATGCTACGGCAGCACTAAGTCAATAATGACATCCTGTGCGGAGGCTACAGGCCGGTCGAAGGGCGCGAAAGCCCACGAAATGGTGTACGCACCAAGTGATCAACATGCCAGGCAAAGGAGCATGAAAGGGACACCAACGGATGGGTGGGCAGAGGGCTGTTTGGGACAGGGTGAATGTGGGGGCATGCAGCTTCGGGCATCCTATTTTTTCAGGATGGGCATCGCACCCTTCATTGCAAGGTGGGACGTGTGGATGATGGCGCGGGGGCATGTAATTGACACATTGACGCATGTGGAAACAGGCACAACTTCCAAGAAACAGCAACAAGTCACACCACTGTCAGTCTTAGAAACGGAGTATCGCACCCAACCTTGATCTTCTGGATGCGGCCATGAAAACTATGATGCATTCCATGGCTCCTCGGCAGGAGGCAAAATTCGTGCAGTGCTTCGGGACGTTGTGCAATTCAGGCGCGAGCGGAGCACCTTGACCCACGTACAAGTGACGTTTCGGGGCGGACCTAGGGCTGCAAATGCTGCAACTGCACAGTCCGATGGACTCACAGACCCGCATGCATCTTATTTAAAGGTTGTCCCTCCTCCTCATTTTTTGCCACTACCCTACTGTCTTGTGGCATGCCCTCTTCCGAATGTGTCTTCGTTGTCATTGTAGAGCAGACATAGCATCATAGCAAATGGTACGAAGATACTCTGCCTTTGACTGGGGACAGCTGAAGTGAGCATTCTCACTCCCTGCAAGGCCCTGTAACCAATGCACAGCCAAGTTCATCACGCTGGTGGCAGCCCATATGATCTTGCGATCAGCTGTCCGTCCTTTAGCCAACGGCATTGAAGGAGACGCCTTCCGACGGCAACATTCCTTGCCTTGTAGATGTTGTACATCCTCAAAGAATCACTCTGGGACGCAGTGTAACACACTAAAGCAGTAGAACATCGGGCACGAACCCGACGGCACTGATCGTGAACAGGAAGGTATGAGCCTGCGTGGCGGCCCAGCTGAACGTAGGACCAGAACTTGGGGCCAGTGCTGTCCGGCTGCCTTACCTCGTTTGCAAACGTTGTGGGCTTGGCCCGAAGATCTCCAAATATTGGGAAATACTCACGCTATCTCACACTTGTTTAGACTCTAGACACTGCTTACCTGCAGCTTAGCCGGCTTTGTCGACCTTCGTGCTCCGGTCTGCCATGTAGGGTGCATTCGGGGCTCGATCTCAGACCTCCTTCTCGGACCCTCGATGCACCCACTCTGAGAAAAAACAACACGTGCACAAACTTCAAAGCATCTGCATATTAAGTGTTTTAGACTTCTTGTTCGATGGTTTGTTTTGCAACAGATTTGCTCCCAGCCGCAGCCGGACAGAACATGACAGAACCCACTATGAGAAACCAGCGCCCTCGGCATGGCTTGGTTTGCATGCTCTGAAAATATCAACCCTGCGTCTAAACTTGCATTATGCAGTTTGGACAGTCGGGTAGCCTGATCTCCTGGCTGCCAGCAATCGTCGACAGGAAGACCTTCAGTTTCAGTTTGGAACATGTGCAGGGCAACTGACGTGCAGTGAGGGTGTTGGACGATGCGACTGGTCGCCAATGACGCATCCAAAGGTCAAATGGCCAGTCCTAGGTCATTGTTGATCTCTTTGCTTGCAAACTGCCTCTGGGACTTGGCGCAAGAGCCGCGCTTGTCAGCACCGCCAATTTCCGCATAGATAACATCTGGACGATGCAAGCTCGATAGTGGAGGCTACTGAAGCCATGCAGCTATGCAGGGGCGCCGCCTCGTCGAGCATCATCCGAGAAGTCGAAGAGGAAACTGCTGGAGTTGCTAGCAGGCCTGTTCGTTGAGTTCCTTTCACAAGTCACAGCCACCGTGCTCAGCAACCACGTCCGGCCTGTTGAACTGCACCACCGCGCTGAAAGAAAAATCCGGACCTGCACATGCCAAACCTGTCCCGATACCAACCCGGTAATCATGTTTGCAGCTGTGCGGGCTTCAGGACGGCCTAAGTCTCCGCAAAACCCGGTCTGGCGCAAATTGATGCCACCACCTTCTCTCATCCTGAAGACCAATGACTTAAAGTGAATCAAAGATTCCGTTCCTGCTTGTTTCCACGCGCAAAAAAAATTAAAGCCCGAATGGTCTTGCAAAAAGTCTTTGTGCACATGCCGCGGTGTTTGGGGCTCGTCCTCGGAAACTCTGCGCCTTCGCATGTCATAACCTCGGCAGATTTTGCCGATGAAGACAAGATGTTGGTTACCCCACCACTTGCGCAGCAAGCTAGGATGCCAACGGGCTTCGCTGTTCGCAACTCAACAAAAACTGCACGACCTCAGCCGGGCGAATGGGAATATACTTCCGCAAGAGACTCCACCCCGTCTCAGAACACAACGTGGGAGCATGTTTTGGCGACGCCTCAGACATTCTGTGTTGACTCGGCCTGGGCTCCTGCTTGAAATCCATGCAATGCACACCTGCAGCTCGAGCACGGCGGGTGCTGCAATACTGAGCGTCCAACATTTGCTCCAATATTATCCAATCTTGGCCCAGCAACCCGCCTCAACGCGAAAAGCCTATGATTTTCAGATGTTGTGACCAACCGGCATGAGGAGCCCGATATAGCTCGATGCCACACAAGGCTTGGACAACCTACGGATGCGTAGGTCTGCAGTTGGCCTGCCGTAATCGCGGGGCTGTGTTGCGGCATGGCTCAACAATCCCCGCAGCAGAGCCTGCCCGGAAATGTTCACGACATTTGTCCATGATGCATTTCTCGACTGCCTCGCGACACCAAAACCATTGGAATTGTATTCAACGCGGCATGCCGAATCGGACCTCTCGAACCTCCGGGTGCTTGGGTCCTTGGCAACCGGAACAACCTACGAAAGACTCCGATATACGGTACAACAGGCGCTCAGCGTTGCCATGGCTGCCCATCGATTGCGCGCGGCTGCGCGCAGCTCGTGAACCCCCACCGCGGCGCCGCCAAGGCCGAAGAGCGGCAACGCGCAAGTGCAGGGAGACCGCACGCGAACGAGGCGGCGGAGGAGATCGCGGTCACGACCTCCGGCTGCCCCCATCCACGCGCAAGGGTGACACGAACGTGTGACATCGCGACACAACGCCGCGCTGCGCATGGTGGCGCCATATACCCAAAAAAATCGAGCCGGCGCCGATCGCCGGCTGGGATCCCAGGCGCAATGGTGTGTAAAAGCCACTGCTAAACCAACCCCATGGGCACACGGCCAAGATGTGGGTTTCAACACATGTAACGAAATCAATCAAATGACCGCGGGATGCAAGTATTCTATGGTATTCTTGCGCATTTTGCACTCACATCACCTCGTTTCATCACATCAGCAATGGCGAAACGCTATGCGCACATGGCCCGGATGTGGGGTTTCCAGACACACATGCAACGAAATGAGCAATGATGTGCATCTTGGCATTCGGGCCTTGTGCAAAAACAAAAAGATCACGTGCGAGGACAAATCATGACAAATCCCAAGTGAGCTGCTTCATTCTACCAGCACCCGGAAGAGACACACATCAATGGCTTTGCTTTGCGTTTTGCTTTGCGCCCGTTCAAGTCCAAGACTACGGTCCTAAAAGGACATGGGGAATGTCGGAATGTCAGGAAAAGCATATGCACGCCTAAGATATGAACAAGCTTTGCAACGCGCGCCATTCGGGCGACGATGCAGCACAA